ACAGGTGGACTTTTGGGCTAGGAATACGGGGGGTGAGTCATAATAAAGCCTTCGGTGCTGAGGAGGTCAGGTTACAATCTGATAAAGACTCTGTCAATTGAGGTAACTCTCGGCTTACGAACGTGTTCGTTACATTCCTGAATTTTTACGATACGTATCGTATTTGTTAGCCGCCATTTTAAAGCATTAAGACCATGTACTAGACATCGAATGGTCTATAGAATATGTTTCATTATAACATATGTTATGGTTTATGGTATAGTTCGCTACGAGGCGTGGCACGTAAACCAACGTCATTTTATTGACTAGATTACTTTTATTAACCAAGAAGAATTCAGTACAATTATCATATAATAATTTTCTGATAATTATTATAATAAATACATTTTAAAAAAGTTTATTTATTTAAATCTTAAAATTATGTTCATTATTTCAGATTCTCTGCTCGACGAGATGACTCCCGATGTTGGGATTGTAGCCTTTTCGGAAATATACCGACGTTTCAGAGGTGTACATGCCGCCAATAACCGCCCTAATGATGGTGGTAATAAATACTTCCGAAACGTCAGTCGGTTTAAGAGTTATTATTAAATATATCGTTCGCCGGCTCACAGCGCATGGCGTCATCCTGTTTCAACTGAGTTCGGAAGGGTCCGGGCGGTGGGGGGAGTTTCTGCGTTGCTGATTGGCTGTTCAGTTGAATGGAAATAACATCCAAGCTACAGTCGGAGCTGCTGTGGTGGGGGGAAAGGGGAAATGTTCAGTGGCGTGTGTTCAGTACATCCATGATTTTAACATTTTTATTTACGTGTTCTAACTTTCTACGAGAATTAATGGAGAGACAAACAGAGCGACCCCCACTAAAGATTTCACGAACTAAATCCCTTACCGATTCACGCTATTAACTGTTGTTTATTAATTTATGTTGTGTTTTGAGTTTGCGGCGATGTCATTACACTAGATATTATGTTCGTTTACTTAAAAGAATATTGACTTTTGCCTATTTACCTCTCTCTCCCTCTATTTCTACCTTTGCCTTATATGCCTTTTCTATCTCTCTCCACCACTTCAACTAACGTCCTCCGTTACTGTTAACTAACCACAAATAAATCACAGGTACGCCAATGAGATATTTCAGGTGGTGATTCCTTCAAGTGTTTCGCTGTCAAATGCGCTGGTGAGCAAAGGACTAGAAACCAACGTGATAATAGCGCGTTAAAGTAAGGATCCACAGTCTCATATCTAGCCTTAAATGGAAGGATAATATTAAAATGGAAGTTGAGAAAAAGTACGATTGGATTTGACATTCCCCGTCATTCAAATTAAGTTTTTGGGGTTTTGTGAGTGCGTTGATGAACTTTTTCGAATCGTGAAGGTCAACATTTTGACAGCTCACGAAGAGAGTTTGTTTGTTTGTGTAATTGTCCTGTCTTGTGTTTGGGTGCTCTAGGGTTTAAATCCTGTTGGTGGTTTTACTCAGTCCCTCCAGGCTAATGCCCAGAGAAAGTTTAAATTAGGCGACGTCTGCTTCATAATTTACACTTTTTTGTTCATTGTCATTCTCTCATTCGAATTTGTATAGACTGAGTTACTACTGAGTTTATACACACTTTTTCCCCGGAGGAACGCAATTTCCACCACTTCTTCTTTCCTCTGCGTTTCGCCGCCGCCGCTGAAGTCAGAAGGGCCGTCCGATCCTCCAATTGAAGAATAGTGGAATTTTCTCTTTGTCTGGACTTTGAAAGTTGTAACATCGCCTGACAGAGCTCTTTTTAAAGACCACTGTACTCTCTTTCAATGAGATCAAGTTCAGAAACGATCTGCTGTTCGAAACCAACTAAACATTTTTGTCTTCCTTCTTCAGGGCGAGTGACTTGCTGCCATTGCTTTGTTCATTTTGATTTTCATCGCCATTTGTTGTCTGAGGCTTCACAACACAAAGTTCTGTAATCTGGTCAGCGACTGTTTCCTCCAGCTGCTGATTGGAAGCTTCGTAAATATTTTCTTCGTCTGTGAATTGCAAGTCCTTCTTCAGGGTGACGTTCTTACGACCAATGTCCAACACTTTACGCCACAACCGCTCCTTCTTGCTTGCAAATTTCTGTAAACGTTCCTTAACCATGGCGGCGCTTTCAGCAATGAGGGCTCCCTCCTGATTACGCAATTTCGTTTCTAACCTGTCCTTTTCCGCCACCAGGGCCTCAAATGTCGCTTGCATCAATTTGAAGGCGTCTTCATAAATTCTCATCTCTCCTTTCACCTGCGAAATATCGCTATTTGCCTGAACGAAGGAACGTTCGATCGCCAATATTTCGGCTAGGAGACGATCAGCTAAGACCGTGGTCTGCTTTCCGAAATACACCATCATTTCTGACGTTTCGGTAGTGCGTGCGTCGTGGAGATCCTGAACTTCAGCTAAGAAAGAATTATTTTCAGCGAACAGTGCAGAAGGATCCTCTTCTAAATAAAGATTCCTCCGCTCTAGTGTTCCTTGTTTGACCTGCAGTTTTATTTCCAGCTCTTTCACTGTTCTCTTCAGAGCATCGCGTTCCCATCTGACGGCGACACAGTCTTCTTCCAAGGCTGGACACCTCCTCAAGTTGGCTGCCCGATCAACATCATCCACGCTCCGAATTTGTTCATTGAGGTCTACACTCTCAAAATTTTGCGGAGCGGAGCTACAGCCCGCAGAATCATCCAGTGGCTTCGACCTGTGTTAAAAGGAATTAAAAATCACTACTCTGCGTCGTTATGACAGAAACAATGACCTTTGAATATCACAGGAAATGCAAAACAAATTTAACACAAATTTCTACATGTTCTTACGTTTACATTTCTAAATATTTAGGTCTTCGGTGGACAGGCGGATTCCTGATTTCATTATAATTCAATTTTATGCATCAGTGCGCGTGTGATGCTGCAAATTGATTAACTTCACAAGAAGAAAATTATAGATCACAATCACATTATTCATCCACGTACAATCACTGATATAAATCCGTGATCAATATTGAAAGTTTCAAAACAATTAATAAAAGTTGTCAGTGGAACGACGGTTCCGGAGAATTTGACGTAAATACGTCTATACGGAAAGGAAGTTTATATATTGGCTTTATTCTAAATATTTCCTTTATACATGCTTTACAATTGAGT